GTTGAATCTTGCTCTGATGTATTATTTTACCCTTCCTTGTGTTAATTGATGAAATTGCTATAGTTTTTCTTTGGAAACTACGGAAGAACTACGACATAGTAAAGTTGCTTTCACTTTGTATTACATTGAAGACTAGTATAAAGGAGTGATGGTGATGAGAATTTAGGGAACAGCTTTTATTTAGTACTATTGATCGGTTGCAACTTGCAATGAACCACCAATGGTTATGTTTATACCAATATCCATACCTCTGTGCTTAATTCTATTGATCAGACTTATATTGCTTCCCATTTCTTAGTGCCTCATTATTAAGTTAAACTACTAGCTTATCTTATGAGTTATGTCAATTTCACAAATTTAATTAACCTACTTTAGTATAGACCGAGTCATTTTCGTAGAGCCAACTTTGGAAGTAAATAGACCAGATTGGGTATCCTAATTTGGTTGAATACCTGATTCAATCTTTTTTTTTTCTTGCATGACGAATTATCTTAATATTTGCTCAATTATCAGATGAAACAATACATTGTCAAATACACATGAAAAGAACAGGGGTGATACTTAATCTACGCCCCTACGACTCAAATCTATATTGGGTATAACTTTTTACGTACTCGCTGTCCAAGTCATTAGTGCACTAAGGGTGTGAATTTAGATTGCAGGAGTACGGGTTTAACCCATCCCAAAGAATAACTTGTGTCACTAAATTGTAGGCAATAAGATCACAATTTATTTGCAGTCTATATTTTTTGTTTAGCTTTTGTCTTATTTTATTGGATCTAAGAGTTTTTTTTTTTTTTTTAAATATTTGTATGTTGGATCTTGATTTCTTGGATCATTTCATCAAATCTCAGCATCGAATTTAAGCTTGAACCAATTGAATAGTAAATCTAGTGTTGACATGTACAAATTTTATTGGATTGCTGGTGATTTATTTAAATTCAAAATTTGTTAGAGTTTCATAATATAATCTTCATTTTTTTTAGATTAGTAAATCTAGTGAATCTTCAAATTTACTGTATATGTGACATGTTTGATTAGAGCAGATTTCATGGAATAAAATTGTGTTTTTTAACTAAAAAGGATTACCAAATCTTACACAAATGGATATATAGGGTTTGATTAACAGCTGCACGTTAATCAGTTTGTTCCTTTTTTTTTTATGTTACATATATTTCTTAAAACACAAATAGAGAGAAAAAAACTAAAAGTGTTATTATTATTATTTGTTTTTGTAAAAGAAAGATACTCCCAATTTACTTCCATAGCCCAAAACGAAGAAATATAAAGTATTCATCCCTAGGTCAACAATTTGACATCAAATTTTAGGTTCTCTACGAATTGGAGAGCATGCATGACAGGATTAAATTTTGTGGAAATTGGAAAGCTACCTAATGAAATTAAAATTTCAGCTTGATGGGCTTGAAATTCGGTAAAACTAAGGTTTCGTGGGAATCTACTGGTTAACAAATGAACTTGCAATTTCGAATAGTTGCTGATAAATCACGTTATAGCGTAATAATCAACGGTGTTTCTATTAATTAACACGCACCGTTTCATCTCTCCATACTTATAAAAGATGTCCGGTAAATAAAAAAGATGACAATAATGTAAGTTGATAGTGTACGTCCAGCAAGAGTACTACAATCTTGAAAGATTTATGGTCTTGCATTAATTAAAAATACTCTTAGTTGAGGAACCTGCTCTTTTTTGTGCATGATGGATGCTTTCATAAGATTCTTTTCTCCCATTATTTCTCATAAGAAATTTCTATTAAATAAACGACTTATTCATCGTCAAAAGTGCCTCCATTGTTTGTTCCTTTTTCCTTTCTAATACACATTTGTAGAATAGGTTTCCCAATTTATTCCTGATATGATAGTTTTATCATTCGATGTCATCTTTTTTGCTGTCAAACTGTTGATGAAGTACCCCAAGATCATTGTAGCGTTATGAGAAAATTAACTGAAAGAATTAATGCATAAAAATTTGCTCTACCTTTAAGTGGTCGTACTATAGGGTGCATAGTTCTACAGTTTACACATCAATTCGCCATTAGATGTATAAAAAAGAGATACCAATCCTTTGATGGTTTTAAGAGTTTAAATTGTTGAATGATATGGCAAGAGTTTATTGAATTATAATCACGATATGATATTCAAAAGGGATGGTAGAATTTTCCTTTATTAATTTGCAAGGTTTTGTTGACAATTCTAATTGTTGAAATTACTAACAAGTAGGAAGCACTATTTTCGATAAAATGTACTTTAATTTCTCGAAAGGGCAAATTACACTTTACTTGTTAGTCCTTTCTTTGACACTTTTACAAATTACACTTTGACAAATTACACCTTGACACTTACTTGAAAGGGCTACATGTTACTTGTTAGTCCTTTCAAATCAAAAGTTATACATAAAACTCTCATGATTTGAATTAAAGTATCAAAGTGACGCATTCCATAATGGAGTCAACTAAAGTGTCAAAAAATACTCCTATATAAAGTTGAAAATTATTTATTAACTACAAGGAGTTATGTATATATTTTGAAAACCATAAGAGAATTATATGGTAAAGTATCAATCCATAAGGGGGTTATATGGTAAAACATAAAACCATAGTGTCATGCATTATTATATTTATATATTTTGGTCACTTCAACCATTTTAGTTTTTAAACAAGGGTAATTTAGACATTTTTATAAGTTCCATTACAAATGATTATTTCCGGCACTTGACACTTTAATCCAAATTATAAGGGAGTTGTATATAACTTTTAAAATTATAGGGAGGTTATGTGAAAAATAGCTATATCACAGGGGGAGTAAAGTGTATTGTGTTTCTTAACACTCCTTTAAGAATCGATTTTCCTAGGTGTTCTTGATCAAGCTTTATTACCTAATCCTCTCATTCTTCAAAAATGTTTACTTAACCTCCAATGGATTCATGTCAAGTAGAAACCAGATAGAAAGCACGTCCAATAATGACATAATTGAAAATCCCAGTTATGTTCTTGTTCAAAGAGTAAATTACATATAATTCCCTTGTAGTTTTACATAATGTCATGTGACTTCTTTAAAGTTTCAAGGTAACCATATAACCTCTCAATGAATTTACGTAAAGTTGAAAATGAATGGAATGCACCATCGACCATGACAATTAAATTAGACGCTCTCCAAAAGTATGTGTGGTGGAATTGAAATATCCACTTAATTTCCTATGAATGTCCCCTTTTTCCCCTTTAGTTTTTCATTCCTCTGCATAATCATTATCTAAGGTAATTAAGTCGTTGTTCGATGTAGTGTTTAAATAAGGGCACTACTGGTATATTAATTAACAATGCTACATAGGCTATCTTCCGCCAAGTTTCCACCTTACATGAAATCATAGGGGGATGAAGGGGATATTTTAAATATTGATAATAGGTGAAACTATAAGAGGATATGTGTAATTTACACTTATTTAAATAATGCACATCATAAGTGCCATACCACTTTACATAAAACTATAGATAAATTACAAAGGGTCGAATGTGAAACCTTGGGAGATTCACCGATATATAATTTTCAACACATTCCTTCTTTCATGATTCACATGTTTCTAGAGCGCGTTTGAATCAACCGTAGTGCAACTGATGATATTTTACATCCATTTTTCACTTTATATAAACCCCAAGTGGTTAAGTTGATATTAGTGGACAATAAGGTGTGGTAAATGCAAAACCACAGGATAAAACGATAATGATTTTATTATACTTTTGATCTTTTTAGCAGTTAAACGGTTGATGAAGAACCTCAAGATTATTCATTATTGTAGCATCATGACAACATTCAATCGGAAGAAATAATCATAAAATTGCTTTAATAAAGTGGTGGGACTGTCTAGCGCTCTTATTGCTTTGAAAGGCTGTATTGAGAATTCAAAAAACTGAAATTACTGCAAGGAAGCGCTATAAAATAGTGAAAAGTTTGTTGAAATGCGCCCCAAAGTGCCAACCACAAATAGAAGGAAACAACATGCGCTTCTTTAGATGTTAAAACTTAATGACCATTCACATTTACTGATACTGATTGTTCACATTGCTCATGTAGCCAATATATTCAAAGTACAAACCAAGTAATAAAATGCAAAGTTGCCAGGCAGACGTGATCAAGATACACGAACAAGAATATGAAATAATGTGTTATTAGTTACTCCTAGGTTCAATGGAACCCAACGACACTATGTCCATGCTTTGCTCGAGTTAGCTACATAGAATTTTCTCTTTTGATGAAGCAGAATTTTTGGTTCCATGAATCTAGATTGGTGCAATCCCTTTCGTAGTAAATTCCGTAGATTGAGAATGGCAAGCCACAGGAAAGACCCAAGGCATGCCTGGATCAAGACTTTGTTGATCCATTATTCATTAGTCAATAGCAGAAGACAAACACAGCACATCAAAGGGAGTTGGAGAAAATTCATACCCAATTACTACTGAATTTCGTTTGTAATGAAAGTACTTTTGTTGGTATCTGCTCTGTCTTACCAACTGCAGAAAGCAAGACTTTGACGGAGTCTTGCAAAACAATTTTCCCTTGGTGTTATATATATATATATATATATATATATATATATGTATGTATGTGTGTGTGTGCGTGTGGAAAGACTTGACTGACTTGCATTGGTTTCTGCCCCACCCCCACAAAGTAGTCATCGAGTCATCGGTTGCTTTTTTTTTTTTTTTGTTAATATAATAATTCTTATTCTATATCTACTTTTACTATAGACTGGGAAAAAAAGTGAATCCAAGAGGGTTAATAAAAAATTCGAAAGAGATTGAGCCAGGGTCGGACGTGCCCGTGCACCGGTTGATGAAATTTCTGCGAAATCTCGGATAAGAGTGCAAACCAATAGTAGAATTTCTATTCTACATCAAGTCGTTGGTTGCTGCCCCACCTTGAGCTGATGACTTTGTGGGGATGGGGCAAGCATCCAAGTCAAGTCAACGTACCGCGGGGGAAAATCCGACCTAAGATTTTAGCTTGCTTTCCTCTTTCAACAGAGAAATCAAAGCACGAAACAAATCAGTGAGAGATGGACAAGGCAATAGAACTTGGAGTAGAAGCCATCTTTACAAATGTGCTGCAGTTGATCGATGACAACCGCAAATTGATGAGCGGTAACGATGCCGTAATCGAGGACCTGACAAAAAGCCTCATTCTAGTGAAGAAATTCATGGAGTTGTACACTGAAGAGTACTACAAAGACGACATCCTGAGGACGCTGGCGAACGAGAGCAGGAGTCTGGTGCATGAAGTTGAAGATGTCCTGGAAACCCACATCGTCGAGGAGTCACGGTTCAAAAACAAGAATTTCGTCGAGAAACTGTTATCGCTTCTGGTATCGCCAGGAAACTCGCGGAACTTCGGCAAAGCCATCCGTGAGCTGAGTGAAAAGGTTAGGAAGGCGTGCGATGAGAACAAGGAGATTGGCCTCCGCATCAAAACGAGTAAAGCGAGCGGAATGCTTGGTCCAATTCCCGCAGACAATAATACGGTACAATTTCCATCCACCCTCTATCAAAATTTTTACGTCCATCTTGAAGAAAAGCTCATATTTTGTCCACAGAGGGGATATTTCTCTTTTTTTTTTTTTGTTTGGTTTAATTTTGTTTGTAATTCTTTTCGTCTGTGCCAAGAAATTAATGCATGGAAAAAAGTAAGATATATTATTTCTTAGAATACGTCCGGAAATAAATTTCCAGGGTAGTAAACTAATTAATTGTTCTCCATACTGTTTTTTCTACCCTAATCATCGGCTTTTTATTGAAAGAAGAAAGGGAAAAGAAAGAAAATGACACCAGCAATAAAGAAAGGAAAGGATTGGAGACAATAATAATGTTTTTAAACCCAGACCATTTAGTGAACCGGATGAACTTCCGGTTCATGATTCAAACCAGTTCAACTGGTTTAATTCGGTTCAAATGTTTTTTTTTAATCTTTTATTTGTCATGTAAATTGGATGAATTTGAAATTAAAAAAATTTAGTATGAATCAGTTCAAAAGTCCAGTTTTCACCCGTTTTGATTGGTTCGATCACATTTGACTTATTCAATTGATTTTTTAGATTTATTATTGAATCGGACCGATGCCACGGTCAATTCACGATTTGATCAATTGAATCGGCTAATTTGGTTCGATTTGTAATTGTAGAGGAAAGTAGTTTACATCCCTTTCGTTGGAATACAGTATAAAAATAATGCAAAGCAAACATTGGATGTGTTGTTTGCATTGTGGAAGCAGAACAAAAGAAAGGAAAAATTCCAGTGTCAATTATCTAAAATGAAGGGAAAAAAAAGTTTAATTTTTTCACTTACTTTGTTTCTGTTTCCTTCAATTTTTATTCATCTTTTAGGCAGAAATCATATCTCAACAAAATAACATTTTCTCTTACTCTCCATTTCTTTTCTTTCTTGAAAATCAATCCAAACAAAAAAAAAAAAAAAGAATTCCCCCAGAACTCCCAAACAGTCAGCAAGAATATAAATCAGTAGTCAAGAAGAGTCACTCTCATGCCAATTCTGGAGGTCTTTATCCCTCCAAAACTAGCGGCCCCATTATTCAACTCTTTCTTTTACTAATTTAATCTTCATTCACGGTCATCTGCAAAAGCACCACTGTCAAAGTTTCTTTCAATTGATTATTGATTTTCCCTTTAGTCTTGCTTGTGTAATTCAAAAGAACTGTAATACTTATATTGGCAAGTAATTACTCTTTAATCTTCTATATAACGTCAAAACTTACTGCACAAGTATTTAGACCCTGTTTGATAACCCAATTCATCATTTAAACTTAATCAAATCAGATCTTAATATATTTAGATCGTTTGATAACCAAATATTAAATATTTGAATTAATTAAGTGGCACTGAATTTTTTAGACAAAATTTGCTTTCAAAATTAAGTGATAAATTATTTACTTATTGTTGAATGTGATATGAATTCAAATATATTAGATTTAATACTTAATAATTCAATAAGTTAATGGATTCAGACTTCAGTTTTATTAAATGCACCCTTAATTGAAGTTGCTTTAGTAGTATGAGGGCAAGAAAAGAAGGGCGTCAGGAGAAGAAGGGTGAGGGCAGAGCTGCTGGGAGTGGGGGAAAAGAGAGGGAGGTAGCTAGGGAGGGCGACATTGGTAGAGCTGTTAGCAGGGTTGTCAATAGGGTTGGGCCAGTTCGAACTCGACTTCATTGATCCAAACAAAAGGCCACTAAGCCTAAACTTTAATGGATCGGACTAGGTCTAAACTAAATGTGAGCCTAATTTGGATCATGCTAGCTTTAGACTCAATTAAAACTCAGCTCATATATGAGCATGATTATATATATATATATAAATGTATAATTTATAATTATACATATTATGACATAAAATGTTAATAATTTATACATAAATTTATAGTAATTCCTAATTATAAAATATATATTATATATAATTACGTATTTAATTATGAATTTGAATCGAACCCGATTTGAATTCAAAACTCATATAATAGTGTGAGCGGAACTTGAAACTTTTAATTTGAGCTCGAAGTCCATAAGTTTGAAATCCAAATTTCGTATGTGTTTGTGAGTTGAATTTGGTTGTGCCCAAAGCCCACTGAAAAATTCCAATTGACACCCCTAGCTGGCAATAGAGAGGGGACTAGTTGAAAAGTATCACCACCTTTTTTTTTTTTTAACAATTTACTGTCAAGAAAGACACCCATAAACATTCTAGTTACCAAATTATATAGTAAGGGTGTATAAAAAATTCTAAAATTTTAAATTAAACTCCCAATTGTAATGTGATATTCAAAATGAAAGAAGGAAAACAAGTTAATATTAGGTAGATATTATGGCTCTCACTAACTTCATTTGTCATCTTTTTGGTTCTTTGCTGGGCATATTTTAAAAGATTTTTTTTTCTATTTTTGTACCCTTATGAAAAGTGGGCACGGTGTTATTTTGTTTGCAAAAAATTCAAATATTAACGCTAAAATATTGGATGATTAATACTAGGTCTATCTCTTGTGAATCATAATGTTAAGAATTTTACTATAATAGACATAATCTTTTATAACAAAAAGCAATCCTTAATTAATGTGCTTATCTTGTTATTTTGGGCACAAAATAGAAGAAAACCATTTTAAAGATAAAAAAGGTTAACTCTTACCCACGAAATATGGACTTACTAGTTTTACTAACAAAGAATAGCAAAGGTGCAATTTATACTATAGTAATTGAGGAAATCAGTTTCAAATTCTTGGATGTCTTGTGTCTCTCTTCTGTTTGCAAGTAATAATGGGTTATTGTGCTAATGTAAATTGCGGCTGCCACCTTCACAATATTGAATGTTTGGTAATTTGTCTGAATCCATCCTGTCTTCTGCATTTTATACTTGTCTCGGATTCCTTCATTAGATTCAGGAGTAGAGCTTCAAACTTTCAGGCCTTTATTATCTCCTGGCTCAACTGTTTCAATCCGTCATTGATTCCTTTACTTTCATGCAAATAGCCTGCAGGCAATCAATGGGGAGACAGACTCATTGGGTTTGAGGATGCAGCTGACACAGTACTGGACCTTCTTGGCGTACCAAACCTAGACCCAGGCAGGTCCGACAGAAAGAGAAAGAGGCAGAGCACGTCGGAGGCAGAGCAACATGGTGACGAAAACCCACTTGAAATAGTGTCGAGCACGTCGGAGGCAGAGCAACATGGTGACGAAAACCCACTTGAAATAGTGTCGATTCATGGAATGCTTGGACTCGGGAAGACAACGCTTGCTAGAAAGGTTCTGAATGACCCTCAGGTTGAATATCATTTTTTCACTCGCATATTTGTCAGTGTTTCAAAGGATTACAACAAGAAAGAAGTGCTTCTTAGTATACTAAGTACCTTCATCAAGGACATTAGGGATCGTAACATGTCGGTGCAAGAATTAGTTGCCGAGGTCCGAAAGACACTGAAGTACAAGTATTTGATTGTCATGGACGATGTTTGGGATATAAAAGCATGGGAAGATCTCAAGGATGCTTTTCCAGATTATAACAAGGGCAGTAGGGTGTTAATAACGACTCGACAAGAGTCTATGGCCAAGCGTGCTGCAACAAAGACTGATCCCTACCTGTTGCGATTTATGACTATAGAAGAAGCTGAAGAATTACTAAGGACGAAGGTTTTCAATGAAAATGAATGTCCAGAGAAGCTGCAACCTGCTGAATCACGAATTCTGAAAAAATGTGGCGGGCTACCATTAGCAATAGTGGTAACAGCAGGTATTCTGAGGAATGATCCAGAAAACGACAAGTGGTGGGAGAATGTGGCTCAAAAATCACTTAGTATGGATGAGTTAGATAGTGATAGCCAGAAACAATTAGTGGATGATTTAATAAGACGGAGTTATGATAACTTGCTTCACGTATACAAATCCTGTTTTCTCTACCTTGGTGTCTTCCCTGAAGACTTGGAGATCCAAGTTTCAAAATTGTTCCAATTGTGGATAGCGGAAGGCTTCATTCCCCAAATTGAGCGAGAAAGCATGGAGGAAACTGCAGAGCGATGTTTGCGGGAATTGGTTGACAGGAACTTAGTGATGGTGAGGCAGAGAACCTTAAGTGGTCGGATTAAGACGTGTTTAGTCCATGATACGCTGCGTGACTTTTGCAAAAGGACAGCCAAAGCTGAAAATCTTTTCCAAGAATGTGACGTGGGGACGGTTTCATCTTCCAGCCGTCGCCTTTGCTGCATTAACTCACACTTCTCGAGCTACGTTTCCAATCAACAGCCTGCTCAGAATGTCCGTTCATTCCTGAGCTTTGGCCTCGAAGAAACAACACTGAACCGGCATCTCTGCTCAGATGTATTTAAGCTGTTCAAACTACTCCGAGTGTTGGATATCTTGTCCATCAAGCTCCCTGGAACTCGTTTTCCGACCCAACTGCTTAACCTTGTTCTGCTAAAGTTTATTGCCATCTGTTGCGAGCTAACAGTCCTTCCCAGAAAAATGTCTAGCTTGCTTAACTTGCAAACTCTTGTAGTTCACACCACATCCTCCACTCTTGACATACAAGCAGACATCTGGTCGATGACAAAGCTAAGGTATCTACATACTAATACCTCCACAATCTTGCCTAAATGTCTGGAGCAATCTCCTGGTGGTGAAAACCTACAAACTCTATCTACAGTTTCACCTGAAAGTCTTACAAAAGATGTGTTTAAAAGGGCTAGAAACCTTAAGAAGCTTGGAATATGTGGGAAGTTAAACAATCTTGTGGAAGCCAATGGTGAGTCTAGTTTGTTTGATTGTCTTTGCGAACTGAATTCCCTTGAAAATTTGAAGCTATACGGTGATGACGTGAGCTCCAAGCTACTTGCCCTTCCTCAGGCACACAAATTCCCACCAAGGTTGACAAGGCTAAGCCTGCATAACACAAGTCTAAATTGGGACTACATGTCTATACTCGGAAATCTTCGGTATCTTGAGGTGCTCAAGCTGAAGGACTATGCCTTTAAGGGAGATTATTGGAAGACAAAACAAGGGGGTTTTCCTTCTCTGAAAGTTTTCTTCATTGGAGCTACAGATTTAACGCGTTGGGACGCTAAAGCCAATGACTTCCCAGAACTCAAATGCCTTATTCTCAAGCAGTGCAAAACACTTGAGCGGATCCCATCTGACTTTGTTCACATGAAGAAGCTCGAGATGATCAAAGTTGAACATACCAAGGATTCGGTAGTTTCATCTGCCAGGAGAATTGTGCAACTACAATTGGAAGTGCTTTTGCAGCAAAAGAGTAAAAAGACTAGCCCAGTTAAGCTCATAGTTTATCCTCCAGAGTATTGAACGCCAAGCAAACTGCAATATAAGTGCATCTTTAACAGGTTAGTAAACTTATTTCTGACTCCGACTTCTGAATCTTAATCCATCATCTTTTGCAAACTTGAGCCAATGTATTTTGCAGGATTTCATGCTTGCCAGTTTTTGTCTTCTGCTCGCCTGAATGAATTCGTAATGTGGAGATGCTGAAGCTTCTATCTCAATCTTTCGTGTTTCTTCTCTATTCTGCAGTAATAAAGGCCCAGTACCTGGCTCTGGGCAACAACATTCAGCTGCTATGATTTCTTTGCATTGTTTTTTTGTTTCAGTATCTTTGAAAATGTCAAATTTCCTTTTGAGCAATTGTTGTGATAGAAATAAGGCCATGGATCATCTGGCAAATTCAGTGATTGAAATAGATATTCTCTTTCCACCAGGAAACTCTTGCTGCATTGAATCTAGGGTCTTGTACTTTTCTTCCTGTTAGAGGTTTGGTTTTTACCTCCTCATCTTGTTTCCTTGTATTGTTAAGTTTACGTGGAATCTTGCTCTGATTTATTGCACCCTTCCTTGTGTTAAATGATGAAATTGCTGTAGTTTTTATTTGGAAACGAAGGAAGGACTGCGACCTAGTAAAGTTGCTTTCCAGCTTCAAGTTTCCCTTGTCTTGCTCCTCAGGCTGAAACGTGTTGCTTTCAATTTGTATTACTTTGAAGACTAGTATAAAGGAGTCATGGTGATGAAAATTTAGTGAAAAGCTTTTATTTAGTACTATTGATCAGTTGCAATGAATGACCAATGGCTATGTCTATACCAATATCCGTAGCTCTGTACTTAATTCTATTGATCAGATTTATATTGCTTGTCATTTCCTTTTTTTTTATTTATGTAAATCCTAATCTTTTATTGATTCAGAGAAGAATGTACACTATAGAAAGGATTGTCCCTTAATCGAATACATCAAATCAAGAAAAGAAACCTGTAATCTATACTACAAGTCTATACAGTGTCATCAATGAAGTAAAGGAATATTGAATTTAACGAGATTTTTGATAGAACAACATATCTCAAATAAAAAAACTATAATATTAATTTTTTATGGTTGACCAGGTATAAGAAGAAGAGATGAGTAGGGAAAAATGCAATGGAGGAGGTTGAGTGTAAGGGATGGAGATTGGGCAGCTATCCAAGGGATTTGGGAGAATGGTGAGGAGAAAGGATAGGAAGTTAAAGGAGAGGGAAGGGAATAATAAAGAGTTAATAAATGGTGAAAAAGACAAAGAAGGAAGATGAACTATAAAGTTGATAGGAGAGAGGAGGAAAAAAAGAAGGGAATTGTGGGGATATGGCATAAGTGGCAAAAGATGATAGGAAGGATAGCATTGTGGTAGGAGGTACCAAAATCATACGAGGCAGCAGATGGTCAGTTGGCAAGTAAAAAGAGATGGAAAGGATGATAGTTTTTAATAATTCTAAAATCTAAAAGCATTGCTTGCACATATGTTTTTTAATCTATATTAAAATTTATGAAAAACACTATTCTATAAGTACTCAACAATTTCAGGGGTACACGATGGGAGAAAATTTTTTTTCCTAAAATCATAGAAAATGAATTAGTTATGATTTATGTTTTTTATATTATAAATTTTGATATACTAGTATTTTGATTCATGCTATGTAGGAGTTTATATTTCAATTCAAAATAATAAATATATATATGTATTGTAGTATAGGATGAAGTATATGAAAAGGTTAAAAAATTTAATACTAATTTTATAATATAGATTAAAATTGATACACATATATCAAAATTTCTAATATAAAAAACATAAATAAGTTATGTTTAATTAGTCGTTGACTTTCCTTTTTTTTTTTAATGTTATTGTAAACTTTAACGCTCCATTTTGTTTTGATCTAAGCACTTGGACCAAGTACAAGATGCATGAGCAAGTGCAATCGAGTCATTATTTGTGACTTTTTTCATTTTCGACCAGAAGTAAGGAGTATCCAGCAAGTGCTTGCCTACTTGGTTGGAAGCGCTTTAAATGAACCCCCAATCTAACATCTAGGCTCTGAGTTTTCCTAGTTGCTAGTAGTGATTATATACTACTAGTTTCTGGATTAAAGTTTTATAACTTTTTTCATCTTCCTACCATTATCCCTTGATTTCTTCTCCTTCCTCAGAAATATTGGAGTTGTTTCATTTCATCTCTAAATTGGATTCACTTTTGGTTACCTTATTAATCATCCTTTTATTAGATGGCCTCCAGTAGTCTTACTTGCATTTCTTCCATCTTGGATGATCTGTAGTTGCCGAAGAAGAGATGTGCAGTCCATTCATTTTCTCCAGAGTTCAGTTCCCTGAAAGTGGCGCTAGGAATGTTAAAATCATTCCTTATGTGTGCGAGAAGTGGGGCAACAATGATGATGCAAGTCTAGGAACTCTGCTGGTTGGGCTTGAAGCTGCCATTTCCAAAACCGGACAGGAGATCCATTCCTTGTGTCTTACTCATTCAGAGATGGAAGATGGTGTTACTGATCACAATCTGGAAAATCTGGCCTGTTGTTTTATTAAGGAATTTCCTTTTGCAGAAATAAAAGAGTGGTACTTGATTTTCTCCTATCGCTTATTAAGGCAGTCTAGTAATTCCCTGATAAAAACAGATGATCTTATGGGATTCATTCTTTTCTTGAGGCTTTCCGTGAAACTATTCTTTTTGAAGATCTTCCATTCAAAGGTGCAGCAGAACCAACACAAGCCCTTAATGAGAAGCTAACATTCTTGAAAAACTTTATCTGTTTCGTCACACTGCACGGCATTAAAGATGACCGATTGGGACCTTTATTGACTCACACTGAATCTGCCGCTGTCAATGCAGCATGTCTCTATTTCAGATGGATCGTTGATGCGAGTAGAGAACTGGACACCTCAGTCAGGAATGCTACATTGGATTGGCTGCAAAAGATTATTACTGTATCGTGTGCCTTCATGTTTGCTGGAAAGCATTAAGTTCATAAAGGCAACAATTGCCGAGAAATATCTGGGAACATCACCATTCAACTTTCCCAGGACTAACGAGTTGGCCCTTACTGATTCTCTTCCAAAGTCTATGATGGATCTGAAAAGTTCTCAGGCTGGCTCAGCTGCTCTTGTCGGTCGTACAGTTCAAATAATCCAGGACAAGCTTGACTTCTTTCCCTCTTTCTTGGGGAAAATTGTGGAGTTGCGCAATGAAGATGAGGAGCTCCAATCACTCTGGGATCGTGTGGTGGACATGGCATACAGGGAAGAGTTTCTCGTGGATTCCGTACTAGTTGGAGATTGTGTAGATTGTTTTTCAATGTCGTTTGATTCCATTGCAGGAGAAATTAAAATCATCAAATCTGAGGCCTTAAAGATTTCTGAGACCAAAAGACTTGGTGTCAAGGTTAAGGAAGTTACCAAGACACTCGATCACATGCCTTCACACAGAACTAAGCCAACAATCAATGACGTGGTGGTGGGAATCGACGATGAGGCAACAGCTATAATCAATCGACTCAGAAAAGGATCAAACCAGGTGCAAATTGTTCCCATTGTAGGTATGCCAGGACTTGGTAAGACCACTTTAGCTAAAAAAGTTTACAATGATTCTATTGTGATGTCCCATTTTTATAAGCGTGCTTGGTGTACTGTTTCTCAAGTGTATCACAACAAAAACCTGCTGCTTGAAATTTTGATTTGTCTTGATTCAAATCTTCCTGACAAAATTTTTAAAAAGAGTGAAGAAGATCTGGAACTAGAAGTCAAACGACGGCTGCAAAATAACAGATATCTCATAGTTTTGGATGATGTATGGGATACTGAAGCATGGAAAGGATTGGAAGCCACATTGCCAGATAATCGAAATGAAAGTAGACTGATCCTGACAAGTCGAAATCGCAACATTGCTGCTCCGCTGGGTGAACTAGATGCAGGACCTCATTTTATTCGTTCACTCAGGCATGATGAGAGTTGGGATTTGCTAGTGGGAAAGTTATTTCCTGGAAAAAATTCACATCCTCCAGAATTATGTGAACTTCAAAGGCAGATCTTGGAAATGTGTCAGGGGCTACCACTTATAATTATCGTTCTTGCTGGAATTCTTGCAAATGAGGACAAATGTGGTTGGAAACAAATTGTGGAAAGTTTGAGTTCAAACGTTCTCTCCAGTACAGAACAATGTATTGCTACACTAGATCTGAGTTACAAGAATTTACCAGATCATATAAAGCCATGCTTTCTGTACTTTGGAGCATTTCCAGAAGATTATGAACACAATCCTAAGAGGTTGACTTGGCTATGGGTTGCTGATGGATTAGTGCAAAAAGCTGAATCCAAGAGCTCCGAGGATGTAGCAAATGGTTACATGATAAGCTTAGTCATGGTTTCCAAACAAAGCTCCACTGGTAGGATCAAGGCTTGTCGAATTCACGATTTGGTACATGAGTTTTGTGTGAGAAAAGCCAAAGAAGAAAAATTTATGCAGCTGGCATGTGGGTATGATGAACTGTATACTTTGAACATGCAACACAATCTACGGCGCCTATGCATCCACTCTGAGCCAGAGCACTTTTGCATGTCCAGGTTGTTTGTTCCCACAATACGTAGCCTACTATTCTTCAGCCATGGTAAAAGGTACAACGGACCTATGTTCAATATATCATTCATCTTCTAAGGCAATTTTCTAAGGCAATATCCATTCATCTTCTAAGGCAATTTTCTTCTTTCTCTCTCTGTTGTAATATTTTACTTTGTAGATATTCTTAGTGAAATATAATTTGGTAGTGTCTGAGGACGTAGGCATTATTGGTCGAACCTCGTTAAATTCTGGTGTATTTTATTTGTTATTTATTTTTTCAATAGCTATTATAGGGTATAGCTGTAGTGTTATATTGTGCTATTATAGGGCATCTCTGCTCAGATGTATTTAAGCTGTTCAAACTACTCCGAGTGTTGGATATCTTGTCCATCAAGCTCCCTGGAACTCGTTTTCCGACCAACTGCTTAACCTTGTTCTGCTAAAGTTTATTGCCATCTGTTGCGAGCTAACAGTCCTTCCCAGAAAAATGTCTAGCTTGCTTAACTTGCAAACTCTTGTAGTTCACACCACATCCTCCACTCTTGACATACAAGCAGACATCTGGTCGATGACAAAGCTAAGGTATCTACATACTAATACCTCCACAATCTTGCCTAAATGTCTGGAGCAATCTCCTGGTGGTGAAAACCTACAAACTCTATCTACAGTTTCACCTGAAAGTCTTACAAAAGATGTGTTTAAAAGGGCTAGAAACCTTAAGAAGCTTGGAATATGTGGGAAGTTAAACAATCTTGTGGAAGCCAATGGTGAGTCTAGTTTGTTTGATTGTCTTTGCGAACTGAATTCCCTTGAAAATTTGAAGCTATACGGTGATGACGTGAGCTCCAAGCTACTTGCCCTTCCTCAGGCACACAAATTCCCACCAAGGTTGACAAGGCTAAGCCTGCATAACACAAGTCTAAATTGGGACTATATGTCTATACTCGGAGATCTTCTGTATCATGAGGAGCTCAAGCTGAAGGACTATGCCTTTAAGGGAGATTATTGGAAGACAAAACAAGGGGGTTTTCCTTCTCTGAAAGTTTTCTTCATTGG